GGCGGAGTATGACCCGTACGAGGTCGCGGTTACCGACAAGCTAGTCACGACCATGCGCGGGCGCCTGCGTGCGGCTTTTCCGTGGTCGAGCTCAAGGTGCGAGAGTAAATTCATACTCTCGGTGGTCTTGAATGGCTATTGGATGCCATGGAAGCATGGACTCCCCAAGCCGTTTCAGCAAAAATATCACGCGGGAGCGTTAATCCACTCCAAGTTCACCAAGCAGGCCATAGCCGAGCTCATCGACAGTGGTGCGGCTACTCTCGCTCCCGCAACCCAAGAGCTATGCATAAGTCCACTGAATGTGGTAGTGCAGCGGGACAAATGCCGTCTGATTCTGGACCTCCGAAGGGTCAATCAAAATCTGTGCATCCCCAAATTCAAGTACAAAGGATTTAATCGGGTGGCGGAGCTTGTTCGCGTAGGCGATTGGATGTTCGCGGTCGACCTCAAATCGGGATACCACCACGTTGACATCCATCCATCTTGCTAGAAGTTCATGGGTTTCCAATTCGGCGAGCCCTCATACGTCTTTCGGTCCCTACCGTTCGGTTTGGCAACAGCCCCATTTGTTTTCACTCAACTCATTAAGCACCTCACCTATCGTTGGCGGGCCCTCCGGGTACGATTCACCCCATATGTGAACGATATCCTGGTTCTATGCAGCACGGAAGTAGAGGCTCGAACCACGGGTCAGATGGTGGTGCAGGACCTAAACAAGGCAAGATTGGTTATCAATTTCAAGAAATCACATCAGCAGCCTACGCAGCAGCTGCGTTTTCTGGGTGTTGAACTGGATACGACGCGCGGCAAGTTCTCCATGGGTCCTGAGCGGCGTGCATCGTTACGCTCAACCATTCAAAAACTATGCATGGAGGGCAAGCACAATCAGCGCAAGGTCCCGATCCGACACGTCGTAAGCGTCATTGGCATGCTTGCATCGATGTCACTCGCCATTGGTGCAACCGCACGTGCTTTTAGCCAGAACCTGCTGCATACCATTCAGGAGGCCCCTTCATGGAACAGCAAAGTGCATTTGGTCCCCCCCAATCGAAGAACTTGAGTTTTGGCTACAAGAATTCGACAACTTCAATGGCGCCCTATTCCATATTCCGAGTAGCTACGATGCAGTGATGCATATGGACGCTAGCGCACATTGTTGGGGAGCAACACTAGACACGTTCCCAGAAAAAATGAATCGAGGCAAACGCGACCATGCCTGAGCACCTTATGATGGCCTCCAGCTCGCAACGGGAAATGGACAGAGTCCTATGGGCTCTCCAAATGTTCTCAGAGGGAATAGAAAATCGACACGTCCTAGCCAAAACTGACAATCAATGGGGTATTCTTCATTCTTCGCAAGGACGGGTCGCGAAGCCCCAATCTCACCACAACATGCGGAGCCATTATTCAAACGTGTACGGCGTTGAGGATTCGCCCGACGGTCGAATGGATCCCACGCGAACTCAACACACGAGCGGACGAGCTCTCCAAGATGGTCGATCGAGACGACTACTCAATCAAAGCACCATGGTTCTTCCTCATCGAGCGATGTTGGGGCTGCACACCATCGATCTATTCGCTAACGCAAACAACACACAGCTCCATGTGTAGAAGTTTTTGTGCATCCAAATTTGTGCATTTTGCGTCAGGAGCTCCATGTGTAGAAGTTTTTCCCGTCGTAAAGAGTTCTTGTCTCAGGTTTTTGAGGTAGTAAGAAGCAATGCATCACAAGGTGCTCGCCATGCTCCATTGCAAATTGCCTGTTGTACACGCACTGTTGTAGATCCCTCTGCTGACTGTGCATCTGGAGGATAAGCTTCTAAGACCACTCATGTGTCAGAATGTGATGTTTGTCTAGCCTGCAGTGGGGTACTCTATAGCGAGTACAACCCAAATTAGGGTTTGCTATATGTACTCAACTGCCTGCTAGTGAAAACCCCTCTTTCCTGTTTCTTGTTTCTGCCTAGACTTCTGACATGCTATCAGAGCAGGTCGACCCTCCTGGGTCGATCCTGTGGGTGGTCCCACCCGTTAGCTTCCGCTGCTATTCTGCCTATCGCACGCCCTGGGCGCGCGATGCCTCCTGCCTGCCGTGCGCTCACGGCGCGCGGCGTTTTTTTCTTCCCGCCGCGCGCCGGTGTCCTGACCCGTCGAACCGCGCGTCGCCCCCCGTCGCCCGTCGAGGCGCCCCCGGAGACCCGCGCGTCGCCCCCCGTCGCCCGACGCGGCCCGCGCGACCTGCGCCAGGCCCGCGCGCGGCCCGGGCAGCCCGCGCGCGGTTCGTCCGGCCTGCGCCAGGCCCGTGCGCGGCCCGTACAGTTCGCCCCAGTGCCGCACGCCGTTCCCCGAGCTTCTGACCGCGCCCCACCCCCGCTGCTGCCCGCGTTCCTGTGTTAGGGTTTGGGGGTGGAGAGTATGGGGGTGGAGAGTATGGGGGTGCCGTGTGTGTGAGCCGTCCCCTGCTCCTCCTCCTCCTCCGTCTCCCACTGCTGCAGCTACCGCTGAGGGGGGTGGATGTGTTGGAGCCGTCGGAGTGGTACGAGGGGAGCGGCGTGTGAGCGGTGCTAGAGGTTCAACAGGGAGTGTGTGAAAGGGGTGTGGGACAGCTGGAGGAAGTTGAGTGGAGGCAGCCGTCTTGTCGTCCGCAGCGCCTGTAGTCCAGAGAGCCAGCTGCGTCTGTGGCCTGAGTAGTCCGGGGCTCTGCGCCTGGTAGCCACAGTGTGAGCACTCCTGGTAGTCCAGAGAGCCAGCTGCGTCTGTGGCCTGAGTAGTCCGGGTATAGCCTGGTAGCTACAGTGTGAGCACTCCTGGGAGCACAGAGAGCCAGCTGCGCTTGTCGCTTGAGTAGTCCGGGTTTAGCCTGGTAGCGACAGTGCTGCGCACTCCTGTTGCCCGTGTGTCTGCAGCTTCAGCCGTCGCCTCCCATCTTCTCGCCCCCGCAGTTTCTCCTCGTCCTTACTTGCCCTCTGTGATAGCCTCTAGCTTTGCTTGTATTTGTGAACCTACTGCTCTGCCTGCTTGCTGTGCTGATTATACCCCACTTTGACTATGGGGGTGTGTCAGAATGTGATGTTTGTCTAGCCTGCAGTGGGGTACTCAATAGTGAGTACAGCCCAAATTAGGGTTTGCTATATGTACTCAACTGCCTGCTAGTGAAAACCCCTCTTTCCTATTTCTTGTTTCTGCCTAGACTTCTGACATCATGTTTGGGTTGGGTGGCACTTCAGCTTCTATAATACCGGTACATTTCTTTGCCACTCAGGGCTCTTGCTAGTATTTGAGCCCGTCTGGAAACATAAACCCCAAAATCTGTTTCGTCTGACGTTCAGATGGGGGAAAAAATTTTGTCTGATTTTTCAGATGAATGAGAAATGCATTTCTGATTTTCCAGATGAATGATTAGTGCTATCTGTTTTTGCAGATTGTAGTTGTGTCATGCTTTGTTTTTATCAGAGCGTCACAACTGAATCATGGGGATGTCGGGCTGCGAGAGGTGCGGGAGTGGAGCAGGGGGTTCGGATGCTGAGCTGCGAGAGGGACTTGGGGGAGTTGGGCTGCGAGAGGGAGTGGTATGGGGCTTGGGGCGTGACTTGTGTGAGCCGTAGGGTGGACTTCGATTCGAGGAAACTGGGTGGGATCGCTGGTGAGGAGCAGGGGAACTGGGGTGTGGGGGGCTGAAGAGGGAAGGGGGGGGAAGGGGGGTAGTAAGGGTTTCGGGCTCGAATGTTCGCGGGGAGGGGCCTGCTTGCTCGGTACTTGCTATCAGACGGAAATATACTCTTTATTTGATTACTCAAACGAAATATAACGCTAAGTCTTTGTCTCCAAACGAAGTAAAAATACCGGTCTTACGGTTCAGACGAAATAAAATTACCGGTCTTACGGTTCAGATGAAATGAAAAAAGTAGGTCTGATTTTCAGACCATCAGTCCGATTTGGTCTGATAACGAGTAACGTATGTATATTTCATGTCTGAGATCTCTTGGAACTGCAACAGCTGCTGTCTATAACACGGCTGCATTGTGGTACGTCAGCTTCTATAAACTTCCATTCAATATGTACAAATCATGTCCTACTGCATAAGAAGGAACATTACAAATGCACAGAATACCACTGACTAAGCTACGGTACCATAGTGGCATTCATGGAGCATCTGTGATGTTCCTTCTCGGATCACACCATCTCCCCGTGCATCCATCTCCCATTCTCCTCTCCTTCAAAACCTGCCACCAACCAGCTTTCCCGACAAGCTGCTGCTGGTGCCGGCAAACCCAATGTAGAGCTGCCCACTGGCGCTCGGCTGGATGGCGCTGAGCACGGCCGCCAGGTCCGCCGGCGCGACAGTGAGCACATTGGCCAGCGACCACGACACGGAGCTCAGCAGCTGCCACGTGCCGGGCAGCTGCAGCGCCACGGGTGGGGCTGCCTGCCCGCACGTGCTGTTGCCGCTGTAGATGGCCGCCGCCTGCGGTGCCTCCGCCATGCCCGTCGCCACCAGCTGGTATGCCACCGCGTACGCCGAGCCCCTGCCGTGAGGAGAGGGGGGAGATGGGGGAGGTGGGGGAGGCGGGGGAGGTGTGGGGGGCGGAGGAAAAAGGGGGGAGGTGGGGGGGCGGGGAAAGGGTGCACAACAGGGGGATTAGAGTACTAAGGTGGGCCTTTTTCCAGGTGATTAAGACACACGATGTGTGATTTTTGCAGGGAAGAACTGAGAGCCGGAGCGAAGGGCAATTGTTTAAAAGAAGAGTGAGGGGCCGTGGCTTACATGTTGGTGATCTGGATGTTGGCTACTCCCACCGGGAGAAGGCCCTCGCACGAGGTGAGCACGCCACGCAGCATGCCTGCAGTGACGGGGATGCAAAGAGGAGCAGCAGGCAGCAGCAGATGTTAATAATGACGAGCACTGTGGGGGCACAACAACAGCATGGATTGCGGGGTTAGGTTTTGCGGGGTTGGGATTGTGGGGGTACGGTTTGCAGGATTAGGGTTTGCGGGACCGACCTGCTGGATGCGGCAGCAGAGCCACGAGGTCCGCCACGCCAAGGGCGTCACTCAGCGGGGCGATCAGCGCGTCCACCTGCGCAGCGAGCGCCGACACGTCCACATTCAGTGCACCCACCCTCAGAGTGAGCGCTGCCACTCGCTGACTCAGCAACGCGCGGAGGTTGGGGAGGATGCCCACCACGTCCGTGTTGAGGGAGGTAGCGCGCTTGTTGATGGCGGGGAGGCTGCCTCTTAGCGACGAGATGCGCGACCGGAGTGCGACGGGTGTTGCCTGGGCAGTAACGCCGCCGGGTCGCGTGATTCTAAGGTATAAGATCAGGTCGAGGTTCGCAATGCGTGAGTTTAGAGCGTCGATGCTGCTCTGAAGGGCGGAAATCTGCGCTTGAAGCGCCAAGGTTGCCGCGGATGCGTTGTCGTTCAACGCGGTCGCGAGCTTGTCGAGCGATTGCGTCAGCGCACTTTCTAGTGAAACGACTTGTGCTTGCAGCGCGGATTTTAGGTCGGACATGCTACTAGTGATTGTGCCAGTAACTTGAGCAGGTCGGTTCGGGAGGCGATTCCCGAGCAGTCAGTTGGAGCCGATTCTAGCCTATGCGCATGATGCGAATAGCGCCGTTACAAGCAGTGCCGCCACAAGCGAGGACGCTAGAGGAGAACGCGCCATGGGGAACAAAATAGTAGTGCGGAAAGAGTGCGGCGGTCAGTGATCGCTGCTGGTACCAAAAGGTACGTATTTTACTCCACGTATTTTACTCGGGCGGCTGAGAGGCAGTCGTGGGCGATTAGTAGGAACAATTGCGTCGCGAAGAGTGGGAGGAAGCTAGTGAATAAGAGCTGGTGCTGTTGGCTTTGGATTTGGATTGCGGCTTGCTCTCGATTATATACTCGCTTGCAAGGTGAAGGCTTGAACCAACCCAAGTGCTGCGGTGACGGTAAGCGCGTAATCTTGAGCGAGGCGGTGATTGACGGTTGGGTTGCGGCGATCGAATGGGTGAGCGTGGGCGACGATGAGCGAGGTGCGGCGAACCAGCGACGGGCTGAGCAGGCATTTCGCCGAACGCTCGATTCACTTCACGCGGAATTGTTGTGATGCTACCGCAAACCTACGCTCCACTCGATGTTAGCCATCCGCGTTTCACACAATCAATATAATCTCACTAGTGTGACGGGTTAAGGTCATAAGGACGCGGTAAAAGTGTTCGATCGGGGGGATATCGATCCGGTCACCGCACTGAAACCCCGATGTTTGCATACAAAAGGTACACAACTGTTTACAACCGCGCAAAAATTTGAATCTGAGGCAATCGATTCTCCACCGCATCCTAATAGTCGATGACTCACCATGTGTGTGTCATGGATCTCATTGAGCCGTTTCAAACCCAGATTTTGTAGAGGTTTAGCATCTATTGTCTTATTCGGACTCACCGTTACAGTTATAGCTGACCTTCCAAGTATGGTGACTCTGATTTTAACCTCCCTCTCACTTTTCCCCCCCCAAATGATAAGAAAACAAACAATCTAACTAACAACTATGAGCTGCCAGGGTTGGCAAGTTGAAATTAGGGTGCCATGTGAGGCATCAGTTACGAGAGTAGCGAGGAAGAGAGACTCTCAGAACATGAATGATGATTGACTATTGAGGGTTGGGGTACATAAACCTAACACTAACTACTGCACCCCATATGACACGCATCACTTAAGGCTACAACATTTGACACACCCCCATAGCCTAAGTGAGGGGTGTCAAGCAAAACCAAAACCGTACGGTCACAAGACCAGTCACAAAGAAACAAAGCTTAGGGTGGATCACAACGTCACCACATAGTCCCAGCACAAGCAAGAGAGCCACAAAGCCAGTGCAAGGGTTCACATAAGTATATGCAAAGCGTACAAACAAAGCAACCAGGGAACACAAGTCTACACAAGACGAGAACATGTGTCAACGAGACCTAACTGCACACAACACCTGTGGTGGTCACAAGGTGGTAGGGCCTTGGTGAAGATGCCTGCTGTATTGGGCTCGAACTCCATTAAGTCCAAACGAGACTGTCCACGCCTCTGCAACTCTCGAAGAAGAAAGTACCTGACGTTGATGTGCTTCACTCTGCTCTCCATTTAAGCCTCTCAATAAAGGAGAATCCTCACCTTGTTGTGAGTAAACAAGGTCAATGCAGAGCTCGGTCACTCACAAAGGTTCGTGAGCAAAAAGGTCAACGAACGCAGCTCCTGTGCAGCCATGGCTCCAGCGTAGATCTCAGCCTCAGCGGTAGAGGTCGAGTCAGAGTTGGAACGCGTGGACCTCCACGAAACAGCTCCAGAGCCCAGGCTGAAACAGTACCCCTGAGTAGACCTGTGAGTGTCCACGTCGTCAGCGTAAGAAGAGTCACAGTGACCAGTAAGTACGATAAGCTGTCTCCCTCCAAGTACCAGCCCCACGCCTGATGTCGTCGCTAGGTACTTCGCCACCCTCACAGCAGCTGTCCAATGAACATGACGGTGTCTCCTTGGCGCAACAAAGCGAGCAAGGATGCTGAGAGGGAAGGCGAGGTCCGGACGAGTACAAGTCATCAGGTACATGAGGCAGCCCACAAGCTTTGCGTAAGGACTACTAGGCTCAAACGGCTCGTCGGAAAACTGATCAGTGAGTCTGTGGTCAACGGCAAGAGGTGTGCGCTGTACGGTGGAGTGCTGAAGCCCGAACCGCTGAAGGACCTGCTGCACCATGTGTGACTGTGAGAGTGTAATGGTGCGAGCGGCTCTGTCCCTGGTGATCTGCAGGCCAAGGTAGTGGCGCAGCTCACCAAGGTCAGTGCACGTGTGTCTTTTCTGCAGTTCGGACTACACGTTAGCCAAAGCAACCCTGTCAGCAGTGGCGAAGACCAGGTCGTCGACGTAGACCAGTACAAAGAACGGTGTGGAGCCACGACGAACAAACAGCGACCGGTCGGTAGAAGAAGGCTGGAAACCAAGGTAATGGTAGAGCGAAAGGTGTCGTGACAGTCACAAGGTGCCTGACGGAGACCGTAGACTGGCCGCCTGAGGCTCCACTGGGTACCAGGAGGGAAAGTGCCAGTGCAGGCAGAGGGACGACGTAACCAGACCTCCAAGGAACACAAGTCTACACAAGACGATAACATGTGTCAACGAGACCTAACTGCACACAACACCTGTGGTGGTCACAAGGTGGTAGGGCCTTGGTGAAGATGCCTGTTGTATTGGGCAACACGGTCAGCCCCAGGCTCTCCGGGTCCAGCAGAGGGCGCACCCACACCCCCAGTCGTAGCACCCCCAGGGACAGCTCGACTAACACCAGCTCCCCGAAGACTAGAGTCTCCTATAGTCACGTGCTCAGCTCCAACTCCAACACCCCCTGAACCAGGACCTCGTACAGGTACACTCTCAGTTCCAACGCCAACACCTCTAGAGCTAGCACCTCGAGGGTCCTCGACACGAGCACCAGCTCCCGCAGGGTCTGCAGTAGGCTGTGAGGAGGACTGCGGGGAAGGAGCCGGAGGGCATCTAAGGGGCTAATAGGGGTGGGGGGGGGGGGTAGCGTGTGACACACCTCATAGGGCTGGACTAGGGGGGGAAGCTGTACCGGAGGAGCAAGAGGGGGAGCGGGAGTCAGGAAGAGAGGGAGAGGAGGAAACGGGAGACCTCGACAGGGGTATTGGGTGTAGTAGGGGACGGACTCGTCGAAACGGATGTTGCGGGAGTAAAAAATCCGGTGAAGGGGAGGGTGGTAAAAGGTGAATTCAAGAGTCCTCCTGGAAACCAAGGAAGACAAAAGGAAGGGCGCGAGGGGAAAGCTTGTCCGTGGAGGTGTCGCGAACAAGCGTCAAGCAGCCCCATACACGAAAACGCGACGCAGCACCAGAGGACTGGGTCCAAAGACTGGTCGGTGAAACCTCTGGCCAAAAAACACGTGGCCAGAGGTTCAGCTGGTGAGCAGCGTACCGAACCGCGTAGGGCCACAGAAAATGGGGGGCACGGGCATGATTCATGGAGGTGCGGGCAATCTCCATGACCAAGCCTATGCGGCGCTCAGCAACCCCATTCCAGCGTGGGGACTTTTGGAAGCGTCCAAGACTGACGGATGCCCTGCTCACAACAGAATCCAGCAAGAACACCATGTTAGAAGGAAATCCTGCCATGAGCAACAAAATGTCGGCGCTGGGATTCGAACGGGTGACCTTCAAATCTATCCTCAAAGTGTCTCAGGACTGATTCAGGACAGTTTCTGCTAAGGGGCTGGTTATGGTGCACGCGAGTTTTGAACTGGAGACCTTTCGATTCAAGTGTCCCGAAAGTGTCTTGTCAGGATAGATTGGGGATAGTTTGGGGACAGATTGGGGATAGTTTGGCGAAATCGATCTCGTGTCGCATTCAGTTTGAAACTCAGTAGCAAAGTGTCAAAGTCAACAGAATTCGCACGGGAGTTAAAGTCGGTGGTCGACGGAATTCTACGGAACTCCAGTCAGTAGATTCGCCCGACGAAATTCAAGGCACGGAATTTCGCGTCGACAAAATTCAGCGCGCGACCTGGGTCGATGCTTTCTTGTGTACTTTGTTTTTGTGTTGCGTCCTAACATAAAACCAGAGAGCACAAACCAGAAATCAACGAAGTCATTATCACTGCTATGTTTTTGTGTTCTTTGGCTATAGTGGACCGTTTCCTGCTATCATTAGTGCATTGGGATCGTGCTTTTGAGCTCTATCAAGTGCTATAGTAGTGGAATTCTACATGGTGTCAGAGCGGGGTTATGTTCGTCGATCCAACCAGCGGCTTGATTCAGTCCTCCCGTCACTTCGTTCCTACATTGGTGTGGCCTACGCTCGTTTTGACCGCGAATGGAGTGGTTAACGAGTGCTGAGGGCTTAAGTGTCCGGCAGGAGCTGGAGGCGTCCGTTCGTGAGCACCACCCTAGTTTGCGTGATGAGGACATAGACCTCATTGTGGACGGTCGTCTATTACGCATGGTTAGGGAGTGTGTGGTGGAGTAAGCACCTGCGAGCAACCAGCAAGGAGGAACCGGTGAAGGAGGAGCTGTGCACGAGGCTCCTAGTGCCGTGGGCATTGGTGGAGGAGCTGTTGCACCGACCATAGACACGGAAACGATCGGGGCGAGCTACGGCCACTTCAATTTTGGAGTAGAGCACATCTCCGTGATGCCGTTGCTGGAGGGAAGGCACGACCTCACCGCGTGGGTCAGCGCCATCAGACCTCAGCTCCAGTATGCTGATTTGTGGTAGTTGTGCAACGAGACAGCACCAAGCCCGACCCCAAACAACCCCATTTAACGAAGGGAGTATGCGAAGGGCCAAATGCTTGCATTCATGGTGCTGAACCTGAAGAGAGTCACTCTACAATGGTCGTGAGCTAGACTACGGGGGGGGGTTGGCACGAACGACTATGAGTGATCGTAGCTTTGCTTAGTTCCTTAGCATTTGCGAATTCACGGGACAAATTGGCAAGAGTTTCACTAGGCAAAGATTGCATTCCAGAAT